GGGGCTTGGGGGAGGGGGTTATAGCACAGAGCACAACCAAGGCTGTTTCCGTTGTTCAACAAACTTGAAGGGCTTTGTTGCATGTTTTTCTCCCTTCCCCCTCTCTCTCTCCCTCCATTTGCATGTGCCGATTGATAGAAACGTTATTTTCCTGCTGTACAAAGTCGAGTGACTAGCTTTTTTGCATTCATTTATCTGTCTCAGCTCCTCGTCTGATCCTAACTGCACGCCCTGTCCATTCTGATCTCGTCGTTCATGGCACCTCGTGCATCATCTATCAGTGCGGTGAATCGCATTATCACATTACTTGCCGGGGACAAATCGTTTAATCATCTGTTCCACAATATCGAAGCGGTTTCCGCAACTGAGAAATGTCTCACTTGTCGGTTTCTTGTCTCACAGGCAGAAACAAATGAGCTGCATACGTTACATGGCGGTTACATCACCGGTGCGGTCGATTTTGTCTCTTCAGTCGATCTGGTTCGTATGGGACATCGAAATCACGTCAGTGTTCACCTGGGGGTTGAGTGAGTCCGTTCGACACGTGAATTCTTGATTTTAATATTCCAGTTTTATGAGACCGGGCAAATACGAGTCGTGGATCAAAGTCGACTCGTATGTTCAGAACAAGGGCAAGCGTTTGGCTTTCTGCGATGTCCTGTTCACAGACGAGGACACTGGAAAGCTGTTGGCTAAGGGAACGCACACGAAATTCCTCTTGCCTGACGAGCCATCGAGTTCTTAGCCCACACTGTCTTTTGTCACTTTGGTAGCCACCACTGTTTTGTCCTAGTCGACATTTCTTCTATATCTGCTTTGATTTCAGTCTCTACGAATAAACTACCCTACAATGTTTTCACTTCTTCGCTTCTGGCCATGATTCGGTCGTTATTATTATCAGTCTATGTGTACAGACAGTCGTCTTTCGGTTTGATTTGTTGTTGATTGGAAATTTTAGTGGTTCCCGGACACACTGAGAAGAACAACTATTGCTTTTCTCACCGCTGCCCATTGATCACATAAGCCCACTTTGTTTCATCTTCCGCAAACCCTGGCTCTCACCTGAACCCGAATATTGCTTGAGTCTTAACCCGAATCCGGAACTGGAAGTGACTGGAGCTGACAATCTACTTCAGACTTCACCTTCACGCACACTCCTCAGCCGTTGCAATCAGCCATACAGTAAGAAGCATTGTAGACTCGAGTTTCGCTCTCAGTAGAGCTCATCAATAGCGCCTATCCGCCGTCCCCTCCGGGATTCGAGCTCCGGAAGGTGTTTGTGTATGTGTTACCACCATTGTGCCAACCATCTCATACCCGGGACTGAACCGAATTGCCAATTCGGACCGAGTGGTTCGAGTGTATTCAAAGATGGCAACACCAGACGATGCAAATGCAAAACAATGGTTATTGTGGGCAGATGGAAGGAGACCTGAATAATCGGGGAAGTTGACGACAAAATCCNCAAAATCCTCAGGCTTCGCGTGTAATTTCTGCACAAGCTCAACAGAGGTCGAATATTGTGGGGAGTTGCTTTGAAAAGGGACCAGAATATTTAACTACTGGTGTTACAATTCCACAAGGCGGTGCTCGGTCGAGGTCATTTGTTTATTAAGGATCACAGATGGGACATCACTAAGTTGGCATACATAACACAGAGATTTCATCGGAAACATACCATCGCAGTTCCTGGCCGCACAACGGGTAATGAATGTAGCAGTCAATAGTTATTCTCTGAGATACAGCAATTTCTCCTCAGTGGTCTTCTTATTGTCTGGTCATCGAAAAGAACCACGAACTATTTTCCATAATACTCACAAATGTGATTAGTACCTCACAACACTGGCAATGAAATTAAGGGTCCAGCTTAACAACAGGTAACGCATGGTTGATGAGCACCTGATTCCAGTATGCACGAAGCACTGGAATACTGCGTTCCTTTATTCGCTCTGAATGGGCATTTGTCTGGTTGAATCGAACGTGCAAAAATGCGAAATATGGAGGACAAGATGGATAAGAGAAGTAGTACAATAGGACGAGAGAGTTGAGATATCAGAAGAGAGATGGGATAAAAGGGAGATTAAGACTATTGGCGTGGTCATAAGGTCGAGGTAGTAACTAATTAACTCCGGTCATTGACAATTTTCGCTTTTGAGCCCCCAAGCCGAGTTGACAGTGTGATACACCAGCCATTCCCTCTGTATGAAAATCGAACCCCCCCTCCAAGTCGACGGTGTAAAAGTTGTGGTGCGTACACAATAAGTGCTCAGTGCTCGAATATACACATATGGACAAAATACGCTCGCTTCCCAATGTAGATTGAAACTTCTTGCGTGAAGTCGATAAAACTCTTTCACAACATGTCGTTCGACCGGATTATGCCAGCTGCTTAGATGGAACATGTCAATGCTGATAAAAACGTGTTATCGCTAGTGATCCGAATCGGAATTTGACGTCATCTAATCTCCCAATTCAGCGCTCCAATGTCAGAGAAACCTTATGCATGATTGACTCCACTCAGGTCCAGCTGTGAGTAGGAATGTGGTTTGCAAGGACCCTTAATTTGGATGTGAAGACTGGAATACGGAATCTGTTGTTGGATATTTCGTAAAGCGGGCGGTGGGGTAGGCGCAAGGTTGTATATGGTCAGAATAAGAACTGGCATGGGGGTCTGAAAACGCTGACCAGAGACTGTCATTATAATTCGTATTAGACTTCTCAGTCTAATCGACCGATAGGGGCACTCAGTGATTTGACTAAGCATGGCAGACAGTGTTATTCCTAATTTTCCCGAACTTTTTTTATCCACATTTTAGTAATATTCTCACCCTTATTCTTGAAATAGTACGTATGCATAGCTGGACTGTGTACTTTGTGTGTTGACCATAGAGGTTCGCTTTCTTTTCCCGTCCCTAAAAGTAAGTCCAATCCCAATCCTCACTTACCTTGTATGCATTGTGAGTTTGGCAGCGATCAGTGAACTTCGCTTCACTATATTACGCTGTACGATGATGATGAAGACGCTTATGTTTCCTCCATTTCCTCCTAAGTTGTTCCACCTGATTGGTAGCCGCAGAGGGGTAACCGAAGCCATTGTCCAAAAGTGCAGGATTATGTTTGTTCAAACTGAAGTTTGAGAAAAACGTCGACCATAGACGACGAAAATCCATTGACGAAATGCGTTCGCTTGTGCTGGCTGAATGTTCCTGCGGTCAGTTATGGTACATGTTCAAATTTTAATTATGGGTAAATGTAATGATTGTAGAAGTAGTAGTAGTAATACGCACGGAATTCGGAACACCAGCCACGCAATAGGAATCACAGGACCCGAAACGATAATCGGCTATCACGACTGGATCGCAGAAGCAATGTCCCACGAGAACGAGACGCGAGGAAAAGGCCAGAGGGCAGGCAGCAAGTAGTTCGTGTATTGGAATAAATAAAGGTGATTAAATAATATGTACAAAAGATTATTGGCTACCTGGGCATCCACCAATTGTATTGCAGCACTGCTTGCATAATCTTGCTTCTGTCTGCATTGTCTTGGATTGGCTGGCACCATCCGCCAATGACGTGTATACAGAAGCTATGCACGTGCTGTTGACGTCAACATTCAAAATTGATCGATCTCCAATGTCCTGAAATGCGCCGCTCCAGGGTAGGTGCCATCGTGTAGGCCTGGATCACCACAAAGCTGGTGCTTATTTAATTCCATGGGTTCTGTACACACTGGGTTCGGTTCGTAGTGCAGTTGAGTAGCAAATTGTGACTCACTCACCGGTACTAAATGGTTAGGTGATTCAATGCTTGACACAGTCATGACTTGAATGAATCGATAGTTGGTGCACAAACAATTTGAGGTGGAAGAGAGTTTCAGGTGTTACAAACTCCGAGGCTGAAAGAATGATGCCCGCAGCCCGCTCATTTGGAGCAGAAGTTTATACGTGTGTCCTCGGAGGTAAACATTCCTAGATAGCGATAGTAGAGTACTACACGGGTGGTTAGGTTAATGTGGTATTTGATATATGAGAATCATGGCTCCCCGTATTCTACGGTATTCAGACGAATAGAGTCCGAGAATTCGCAGCCTTTCACTGACGGTCTTAGATTGTAACGCTTTGACCATTTTGGTTGCTGTTCTCTGCGGACTTTCGAGTGTCTTTTGGTCGCGAATCAGCCATGGATTCCAAGCCTGTATAATATACTCGGTGTGTGGTCTAATGTATGCTGATAATAAACGGGGTAATAGGTCTGTTTCGAATAATTCAGAAACACGTTTTAGCAATCCAACCTGTTTTATAGCCTTTGATGACGCTCTTTTGCAATGTGTGAAACATCCCAGATCCTCACGAACGATAACTTTCAGGTCCTTTTCGTTTGGAGAACGCGGCAATGGCTGGATAGCGACCCCTGTGGCGCAGCAATACAGCCTTGTATTTTCATTGTGGAATTCGATGTCATTAATAATGGACCATCGATAAGCTGCGTCAAGAGTTCCCTGTGAGGTTTCATAATCTTCAGGATATTTTACCGTCTTCCATGTTTTGGCATCATCAGTGAATAATAATGCCTTTTCTCCAAGGACACCTGGTAAGTCGTTTATGAATGCTAGGAAAAGATACGGACCGAGTGCGGATCCTTGTGGAACTCCACGGACAGCCTCAATCGGTCCCGACAGACAACCATTAACTGGAACCGATACGGTACGTTGTCGAAGAAATTCCTCAACTCAGTCCAGTAGCAGTCCTCGGACACCGTGATTATGGAGCTTTCGCAACAAAATGGTGGCTTACCTTGCGAAAAGCTTTGGAGAAGTCTGAGTAGACTACGTCTACTGCCTCTCCTGCGTCGACTGATCTTGTCCATTCATCTGGTCCAAGTAGCATGTTTGTGGTGCACGAGCGTTTCCTTCGAAACCCGTGTTGGGCCGGCGAAAGTATGTTATGCTTCTCGAAATGATCCATCAGAGAATCAGCAACAATCGATTCCATTACTTTTGACAGAAGGGGAAGAAGTGTAACTGGACGGTAGTTCGCAGGATCACTTCTACAGCCACCCTTGTAAATAGGCGAAGTGATGCCGTGTTTCCAGGATTGAGAAATCTTCGTCTTGTCGAGAATTCTTTGGTATAAATAAACAATTATTTCAGATATGTAATTTGCCAAGGACGTCGAGGTCTGTGTCCAGATATTGTCTTCCCCTGGAGATGAATTCCGGCGCAGTGTCAGTAGTTTGTTTTTAACCATTTCAGATTTGAATGTAACGGTGGCCAGTTGGGGGTATGGGACACTTGATAGAAGGTGTGGAACCTGTAATCCGCCTTTGTTACGTGCAGCCAACACTTCGTAGAACTGAACTTTTAGGAATTCGGCTGCTTCAGCATTAGTAGTGGAAACGCGTCCTGCATACCTTAGTGCCGGTATTCCATATTTCACTTTCCTGGTAGCATTGAAATGCTTATATAGTAGCTTTGAATTGGAAATAAATTTATGTGCCAGAGTTTCTTGAAACCTCCGTTTATCCTCTCACTAATTCTACACAAAGGTTTCTCAACGATATAGTTACCCCAAGTGTTGGCGGTCGGATATCTTCTGAACTCTCGTCAGGAGAAATTCCTTTGTGACATCCATTTCTTGGTTCGACTACGGATAGGTGATAATCATGTAGGTAACGTACCGACAGGCTTGGTTTTTGTGGGAACCGTTATGAGTTCTGTTAGTGTTTCAATGAATCTTTTCTAGGACT